TCAAAATATGGTGAATCCTCGTAGTGACTTTTGGTTGGTACGATCCTACCTTCGCGGCGCTGCTCGTCGATCTGCGTCAATGGCTCTCATTGCTTGATTCCGTGGGTGATATCTCTGCCTAATTGGCTTGACGTTACGCATGGTGATGCTGTGTTCGGCAATGTGGGACATGCCGCCAAGCGTACCAATCTGAGGAAGTTCTCGCTCGAGGATCCGTCCTACCCAGAGTTTTGGGTAGGTCTCGTAGTGGTCCGCATAAGAAAATGCTTGTAGTTGCTGCTTGTTCCGGATCCTGGAACCTAACTTCCTTGTGAAACGGGTTTCGTAGGATCGCCGAGGATGGCGGGCAAGGCTCGGGACTGTTCTTGGTACTGCATATGTGACCTGCGTCGGTGCGTTCTCATGGGTGGATCACTTTGGGACAGTTGTGATGTGATCGCTCTGCAGTTGCGCTAGTGTAGCTGGATGGGCATCTGGCTGTTACCTGGTTACCAAGTCGTGATCATGTGGTGGCTGCGAAAGGGTGCCAGCTGTTGAATGCGTCCTTGGGACGGTTCGCTGATGCGCCTGTGAGGTGGCTTGTTTATGCGCCTGTGAGTCGCCTGGTTGCTGCGCCGGGTGGCGGTTTTACGATGGGTTTCTCGGCGGGAGCGTCTTCACGACGGCTTGCGTTGTTCCAGGTTTTGTGGGCGGTTGGAATGTGAGTGCGTGTCCACCGCACTGGAGTACTGCTGTTCCGCAGCAAAGAATATTCATCCCGAGTACAAGATCGTCCAGCACGTCCCTCATGATGAGAACAAAGAGGCTGACGCGGGCTTCTCCTAGCTGGATGGTTAATCTAAGCGCTCGAGTTACATCTCGGCCGGTCCCATTTGCTAGCTTGACATGGGAGCGCACGGCTCGGAGGTTCCTTTCGTCTTCGAATCGTCTGGCAAGGCGCTCTCTTATAAAGCTATGCGAGGCCCCGGTGCCGGTGAGAGGTTGTCCATCGACCGTGACCTTTTTCCGGATTCGGCTACGATCCTGTTGGATCGCGGTGGTCAGTTTCTATGGGCGTTTTCCGGGATCCTCGGGTAGTTCCGTGATACTAGAGGCCCTTGTCCATTTCGCGGCTTCTGGTTTCTGCACCAATCTATGGTCCGAATGCCCCGTCGGGCAAAATCTAGGATTGCGACATTGCCTGGAGGCGTGTCCCTCCTGTCCGCAGTTGCGGCAGGCACTGTGTACGTTGATACGCCCCGTGGGCGGAGATGGCTGAGTCTGGTTGCTCTGGTTTACGGTTGGAGTCCGGCGTGTGACGTCGGGTTCTGTCGTCGCAGCTGCTGTGGCGCGCTGACGTTTGTCGAATAGCTCGGGTTCATCTTGTTCCTTAAAGTCGTCAGTTGTATGCCCACGGAGAGATCGTACTCCGCGGCTGCGTGCGACTTCGTAGTTAACAACTAGTGTTAACTCGACCAAAGTCCTGAAATCCTGTCGACGTGTGAACATCTGTGATTTGGGAAGCATATTTTCGTAAATGCGTTCTAGCTCCTGCTCTGCTGTAAATCCTGCGCGTTGCATTTGGAGTCGTAGGTCCACCAGATATTTCTTAAATGGCTCATTAGTCCTTTGGTAACTTGTGCGGTTCTCGTCATCCAATCGTTTCTAATATCGGCGCGGTAGAAAGAATTCAAAGAATTCACGGCGCACCTCGGTTCAGGTTTTACCCTGGGGACCGCTGGTACGAAACCAGTTCTCCGCTCGTCCTGATAGTAAGACACAAAGGGCGTGGAATAGACACTTCCTCTCGATCCGGTAAGTATCCCCCCGTTCCTCCAGATTCTCTATGAAACTAAGCGCATCTGAGGTGCACAGTCGCCACTTGGTGACCTTGTCCACCAACAGATAGCAGGTGTTCATGTCCAGCTGTGTGGGGGTTGTTCGTGTGCTTCCTTCCGACTTCCGAGTCGAAAGTGAGATACTTTGTGGAATCGTGAGTGTCTGGCTACCACTGGGCTTCTCCACCTCGGGTGGGAGCGACGATATTGGTTTCCGTATTTGAGTTCCATCTTCCCGAGTTCGGTCAAGTCGGCTTCGGGTGTACTACCGTTCGGTGGCTAACGGTTCTGTCACAAGTGCGTAGCAAGAGCGGCTTGCTTTCGATTCACTGCGATTGCAAAGTAATTGATTATGCACTAGGATTATCCTTGAGGATATGAGGAGAGAGATGAAGAAACCTATGCTTCCTAATGGCGACGGCGTCGGCTGCAGCGTCGTCGTTGTCTGTATGGGTGCATTCGCAGATCTTCGTATTTTTTCAGAGCTTCGCCTGAATGTTTCGTGCCTATTTCTCGTGTATGTCTCGCGTCGTGTGCGTCCATGCTTGGGAACTTCGGGTCCCGAATGTATACGTGCCGACTTTCCGAACTTCGGGTCCCAAAGGACAAACAGGATAAGTGGCTAAATGGCCTAGATTTGGGTTGGGATAGGTTGAGAAGGTGGAAAGGGATTGATCAGTAAAGGATCCTTCATGGTCTCCAGTTGGACAGGATCAGCCTGTCAACCGGATAGCGACGCCTGTCCACCCGACAACCGTGCGTCACTTGGATCCGGGCACAGCCCCCGTCACGACATTTACAAATGTCCTCCCGTCTTTCGTGTCTCTTAAAACTAAGGTGTCCTTACTAAAACTATCCCTAAAGCTATCCTTATCACTTTATTTACAGATGCATACAGGTATTTAAACGAGGAACTATGGGTTCCTCACACACTAAAGGCAAATAAAGAAACTTATGTTATATAATGAAATGGAATGAATTATATAAAGAACTAAATAAAATAAAAGTTAACTTTGATAATACGTATAAGTCACTTACACAGAATAGTAGCAGTTTTAATGTCAGACGCTAGGCCCCACACATCTTTGGTCACTCGGCAAAAATTAACGGAGCTGAATTGGGAAGTGCTTCCACATCCACCTTATAGTCCGGACTTAGGACCTTCAGAATTCCATTTGTTTCGCTTTCTTCAAAACTCTTTGAATGGTAAAAACTTTGATTCAGATGAGGCTGTCGAAAACCACTTGTCTCGATTCTTTGGTGGAAAAGATCAAAAGTTCTTCGAGCGCGGAATTATGCAGCTGAGCGAGAGATGATCATTAGTGGTCGAACAAAACGGTCAATACATAATTGATTAATTACAAGTCCTGATATAAATAAATCATCTTTGAAAATATTGAAAAAAAAACATGACTTTCTTGCCCACCCAATATTAAAGACTCTGATACTAGTTTTTGATAAAATTTGTGTAATAATTACTGAATTTAACATGGGCATGTCCTAGGCTGTCATCAATAAAAATTCAACAACAATTCATCGATGATTCACGTTTTTAACTCTGAATTTAGTGATCTTGTTTATACCTATATTCTCTATTGCTCTGAATTTAATAATTTTGTTTATATTTATAAATTATTTTCTTCTTTTTAGTTCGGTTATTTATAAAAGCTTGTTTTTTTTTAGTTTTTTTTTTTAAATATTATTTATTTAAATTAAATTGAACTTTTTATTTTATGTTGCTGTAATGTAAGAAGTGGCAGTATTTAATAAATCTTCCTCCTTGGAGGGTCCGAGGAATAAATTCTTTTAAGTCTTTGCCAAGTCCGCCGAGATGCAAGTCTCCCGTCAAGGATATTTGGGTGTGACGAGAGCTTATTCATATAGTGTTTGGATTGTTCATTGATAATACACCCAATCAAGGGAACTTTAAGGTGCCTCGTTAAGTCAGTGTTACGAATGAACCACTCGGCACCAGTAATTCTCCCCAAGAACTTGTTTTGGAAAACCCGGGCGCGACTCAGATTCGTTTTAGCCGCAATACCATAATCTTGGATCCCGTAGTTCCAAGTGGGGGCAAGTATGGATATATGATTGCCTTAAGTAGCCAGTACAGCCTTCTGGCCTTATTCTCCAATGAACACCTAACTGTACTAGTATGCTTGGCGAAGGTTAATCGTGTGTCCAAGGTGACCCCCAGGTTCTTATAACTCTGACCTGCTCAAGAAGCTCTCCATGCAGGAAGAGGCTGGGCACGACTCCTTTCTGCGAGAGTGGGTCACTACAGCACCCTTTGACGGTTTAATGGGTATATTCCAGCGACAGGCCCAATTCTTAAACCTCTTGAGGTACAACTGAAGCATGTTTAACAAAAAGAAAGGAATTTAAAATTTTTAAGTCCGTACTACGTTTCCTTTAATAACTGAAACCTATAGCACTTAAACTCGTCTAATATTCATAGAATTATAAAAAAGACTATCTTTAAAGATTAAAGATAAACACTGAGAACACTTACTGATTTTATTAATGAAACAACGGTTTTTAAAGCTAATCATGGCTTGACATAAATACCTATGTTAACAGAAAAAGTGTGTAAGAAGTAATGTGGGTTACGGCATCTTAATATACGGAGAGATAATGCACCACTCCACTTCCTCATGATAGCAGAATATGCACGTGCACTTGAGCTGGTTATTTATATACATATGTTATACATATTTTTATGGCAAATACATATTGTTGCGACTGAAGAGTGATTTTATTACATATTGTTGTGTCAGAATATTATTGCTTATAACACTATCAACGTGTGTACTTTGCTTAATCTGAACAAAGTATTATTGATAAGTATATCCACCTAAATTTTGTATACCGAGTCGTAATTTTTCCCATATTAGTTTTTTATAACATTTTTTTGTACAACTTTTATTTTTTAATAAAATACTTACTAGCTTAGTTTAATAAGTATCAAACTGAAATCCTTGGCACATTCTTAATGAAATCAGACAACTATAATAAATATTTATATATATGATAACTTAAAGTTATATTGTAGTTTTATTGTAAAATCAAATCGATCCAATTAGTTACGTAGCGTGAAAATAATAAAACAATAACATTTAACTTTCTTTTTGACTTCATAATGATAAGTTTAATATGTGCTAACACACTATTCATTGTTTTCAGCTTACAATGAACGATTTCAGCGTACATAGGATAATTGGCCGCGGGGGTTTTGGAGAAGTCTACGGATGCCGAAAAGCAGACACCGGAAAAATGTATGCTATGAAATGTTTAGACAAGAAGAGGATTAAGATGAAGCAAGGTGAAATGCTGGCATTAAATGAAAGAAATATGCTGCAAGCAGTCAGTACTGGAGTAAGATTATTAATCTTATTTGTATTGTACATAAATAATAATATTATTTCTTTAGATCGATTGTCCCTTCATAGTTTGTATGACATATGCATTTCATACGCCGGATAAACTTTGTTTTATATTAGACTTAATGAACGGTGGCGACTTGCACTATCATTTATCTCAACATGGTATTTTTAGTGAGGACGAAATGAAATTTTATGCGGCAGAGGTAAGATATTTGAAAATCTATTTGACCTTACTTTTACAAACATTTATGTTGTATACTAGGTCATTTTGGGTTTGGAACATATGCATAAACGTTGCATTGTATACCGTGACTTAAAACCGGCCAACATATTGCTCGATGAAAACGGACACATACGAATTTCTGATTTGGGATTGGCTTGCGACTATTCAAAAAAAAAACCGCATGCTTCAGTGGGAACTCATGGATACATGGCACCAGAAGTGCTCTCAAAAGGAACATCATATGATTCTTGCGCTGATTGGTTCAGCTTCGGCTGCATGTTATATAAATTGCTTAAAGGTCATTCTCCATTTCGACAACATAAAACAAAGGATAAACATGAAATTGACAAAATGACATTAACTATGGTATGTTGAGCCTAATGTTACTTTATATATATAAAGTAAAACCGTTGTACACAATGGCATAAATCTAAAATTAAAAATATTTATCAATATATTTTCATACCCGTTAAAAAGTTAAAAAGAACAAGACCTTTATAGCCTAATGCGTAAACTGTGTGTAACAGGCTAAATCGTGCATAATGGCCCCTTCAAGTATTTAAGATCTGCTTTACGAGCGAAGTCGCGATGTCTGTTCGTCTCTCACTCCGTATTAAACAGTAGCGATCAACTTTGGTGACTATCTGTTGCCCGCAGATAAATAGGACCCACACATTAGTCTTTTTTGTACACCTGTATTTACTGTAATTTTTTGTTGTTCCAGCTGAATGTTTATATATCCATTGAATTTATTGCATTTATATTATTTCTTAAGAGGCTAAAAAGTCTGATCCTGAGTTATAGCAATTTTTTTAAGCAAATTGCCTTATTATGATAGAAATTGCATTTTCTGATAAAGTATAAATATTAGAAGTTTAGTCTGAAGTTTGCGACGGAGTCATGTTAGACCCTATAAAGTATTTATATTTTTGATCAGCATCAACAGTCGAGTTAATCTAGCCATGTCCGTCAAACTAGTCTCTCAGTTTTAAGCTATCTGGATGAACTTTTGCAGATAGTCTACACTCTTGCTCGTATATAAGTCCGAACGTGCCGGATCGGACGACTATCCCATATACATCCGTTGGTAGCAAATTATAAATATGGATATGTGCACTAAAAAGCGTACAAAACAAGGTAAAATTACAAAAGTGCTTCCACCTCATGATCATATTTCTAATTAGCTATAGTTGCTAAAGCAACGAACTGACAATTACAAAAAAAAATCAAAGATAACTTTGGCCCTTTGAAATATATTTTCATCGGACATTTTCGAAAGTTTTACAGTAATATTATAAATGTAGTTTTCCTAAATTATTGATCCATTTGTTTTTGTTTTTAACAAGTATATCTTTAGACACAGATACCACAGACACACGTTGATACCATATTTGAAAATTATTATATTCGGTTTGGCAATCCGGCTGGAAAGCGACGTCCTTATTTTGCACACAAAGTTTGACGTCGTCTACATAAAGTTAATTATTAAGTAATGTGAACAATACCGGACTTAATTTCCTCCTTGCGGGACTCCAGGCCCGGAGAATAGTTTTAAAGGAGATCTTTTGTATCCTGCCAGTCAGATAACATGAAATTATTTTAAAAATATCATCACAATGAAATCCCAGGGAATAAAAAGCAGGCGAACTAGCCCGTTCAGGCTCTGCAGGGCTATGCGCTGATAAATAAATACCGATCTCCCTGAACTGGGTTCAGGCAACGATCCACGACCATTAAACAGACTGCCAACCAGGAATGTTTAAAAAAGATTTAGCACAGGAGATCAAAGAAATGTTGGCCCAGTTTCCACCAAAATCGAACAAGAGCACTGTTATCCAACAGCAAACGGGATATCAGCAGGAATACGGCGGTCAGCGCAGTACATTGAGAGATTGGATTGCACGCAATGAGAATGGGACTGCCAAACAATCCCATCTGTAAAAGCTGCGACACCGGAACATCTGTTCTGCTTCTGCCCAGCGCCAAATCACTTCACTTCGGGGCCTACCAAATGGAGTTACTTGCAAGAATAGGAAAGCTGCAGGTATCAGCAATCTTATACTTCTTTACCGACTCATGATAGAAACGTTTGGGAAATTAGGTTAGGTTAGGTTAAGAGAAGAGAAGAGAGACTTCATGAAGCAAATTCGGACGCAACAACCCCTTACGTATATTAGGTTTCCGGGCCAAATTGCTATCTAGTAAAAAATGCCTTTTTACTTTGTATTTGGGGTCAGCCTGGTCGATTTTGGGTGGACCCATAGCTGCACCTTTTATTTTTTGGTCAAGAAAATGATGACCGTCTCGTCTGCGTTGATTGTAAGTCCTACCTTATACCTTAATAATTATGCCTATGTCGTCCGCGTTAACTGTTATCTTGTGGCCCCTTTCCTCTCGAGTTTCTTGATTAGGTCTTCGGCCAACAGAATTCACACGAGGGGCGAAAAAACTCCATCTTGCGGCGTGTCACGGTGTCCTCCTTTTATCATGAAAGTGGTCTACCAATCAGATTGTACCCGTCTTCTCGTCTATCCAGGAGTTGATGGCGGGGTGCGTGTTGATTGCATCTATACGGTCTATTATTGCGTGTGTGCGAACGTTGTTAAAAGCTTCGAATATATATTCAAACACTTAGAGAGCATATCCTTAATTGTACAGGGCTCTCTAAATGGTGGCTACTAAAAAATGTAATACCGTCTCCACCGATTTGGCCTGTAGTCCTTTTGACTAACGTGGCTGCTCCTGCCTGTCTTCGGTAAGAAGACAATCTGAGTGGTCCTTCTTTGGATAGGGATATATCCCGAGCTTAGGCAAGTTGTGCAAATTGCGTAGGGTCATGGAGTGATCACTTCTGTGGCCGCCTGGGAATATTCCGTCTAAACCCCGGGAAAGATTCATGGCACAGTGGGTTCTTCTAGAGGATATAAGATCTGTTGGGAGATAATACCCTTCTTCAGGTTATAGGTGCTCATTGAATTAGGTGACCTTTGTACATCCTGGAAAGTGCGATTGCATTTGTGATGTAAGGGTGTTTTCACTGCCCACAGTGCACTATACGTCGTCGCGTTTGAGTTGACTATAAATGGTAGGTTGCTTTGATAGCATCTTTTTTGGGGCCGAAGTCTCTCTACGAGTTTATTTGGCGCCCTGCGTAATCTTTCTTTCTTGTAATCCCTGAGTGGGATTTTATAACCATCGTTAATTATATAACCTTTTGCTTGTTAGGCGATGTTCGGAGCAGACCGCTAGCGCCTAATTGTGCGCGCATGGGTGTATGGCTGCACCTGCTGCGCTCTTAGCTTTTCTCTTTTCTTATCTATTTCTTGCCTTATCTTTTAAGCTAAGCTACATTGTAAGCGTTTTTATATATATTGAAGCTATTCGATCGGCAGTTGCAGCTCCGACCAGAGAAGTGAAAACGAAAATATACACAGCATATAATAACCTATTCGTGCGTTATAATTATTGCTTAAGGGTGGCAAATTCGTTGTTTTCCCCATAAATAGGCGACTTTTAAAAATAATAACTTCTTAGTTATTGCGTCGGAGCGAAAGAACCCTTTTCCACTACGGTGACTTGGTCCTCTTTCTAATTGTCGATTTCAGGCATGGTACGCGTCTAGTAATTCCTTGAATATTAAATTAGTATTAGTATTAAGAGTCACTCACCCTGTCGCCCCTTCAAAAGAACCTTCCGTATGGATACAGCGGTTTTGTTGCAGCTTACCGATGGTGGATAGAATTTGTTGTATTTAAAGACTAGTCCGCCAACGCCATTCCACGAGTCAAACCATGGCTTTTGGACCAAAGTTATATCGCTGGAGCCTTCTCCATGGCAGTGAGGAGTTCAGCCCATGCGATCTTACTCTTATAGAAATTAAGCTGAATCACCCTGATTGTTATGGGTACTAGGCTCAACTCCATGTGGCGGGCTGACTGCCATGATCAGGTTTTTTAGCACCCGGTCCCCTTAAACAGCTATAGGTAGGGGCAGGCAAAGGTAGCCTTTGGAATGGACGAGATAGTTCCATCTCCACCACCTTCAGCATAGTCCCCTCCCACAACGTTTCCCATTAGTAGACCGTTTGCGTTAGCCACACTTCAAGATTTTGACCGCATTCAGCGAACCCGTACCATCAAATGTGAGCTTTGGCGATTTAGGATCTTCCTCCATAACTTTGCCATTCTCATCGTTCCATCAATGATTTCCTTAAAATGTCGTTTCGTCACCTTACTGGTTTTCGCGAACTTCTTATTGGGTTTTTTTGCTTTTTGGGGAGGGCCTGCCTCTTAAGAACCGCGTTTCCGGTTGATCCCCGGAGTGCCCTTGATAGCACGTTCGGCAGAGCTTACTTTTGGTGGCAAGCATCTCCTCCACTTTGTTTGTCAATCCGCCCGTGTACGTCATTTTGGGAAGCTTGGCGAACCGTGGTCTTCGATTCTTTGCTCAGCCCACGTAAGCTTTACATTCTCTTGGAATAGGGCGCTTTTTTCTGGAGAAGGCTCTGAATGCGAATTAGCCTTGTATAGCATCTTTGTTTTTTTTTCCCCCCAACTCTACGTGGGGAGATGGTGCCTGGTTCCGGCGAGCGGAAAAAAGGAAGAGGAAGAATGCCTATTCTTCTGTGTCGACAATGTCACTTGTGCGAATTGTGAATTCCACTGTGTTTCGGAGCAGTAGCGCCACAATTGATTTTACCTGCTCCCGTCAAACCAGAGGTGTAACAACTGGGGACACGCAGAGAGGGTTACTCCCCTCCGTGCCGGCCGGTGGTAGCAATCACGCCCTTCGTCAACGCTTGGGCTGATATCCCGGACCCGGTTGAATCTTTCCGTTCTTCCATACTAAGGAAACCAACCAACCATGCCTAGTGGTTACTTCCTCTGGCGTTGAACGGAAAAATTGAATCGGAGATTTAGCTGGGCACTGCACTACCCCGAAAAGAGCATGCGGCATTAAAACGTTGCACAGGAATATACAGTGCCCATTGCCCAGCCTGCGCAAATTAGTATTTCGGATTAAATTTTTTGAAAATCGGATGACTATATACTTTATAGCTGCCATAGAACGGACGTTAAATATAGAGGAAAATTCTAAATTATTAATGTAAAACTTTAACTGTAGAACTGTAAGTATAATAATTATAGTGACTGTTATGAAAGTAGGAATTTCTACGGAATATACATAATTTATATTGTATTGATTAATAATAATCGAATTGCAATCTGCAAAGGCATACACACTTCCTTTTTTGTTATATGCTAATTTTTTGGGTAAATCAAAATTTTTAAATATCATAGCTAAGCCAAAATGCACTAATTTCTATTCGGAAAGCCATTTTAGGCTCTGCTATTGATGTTCATTAA